GTGTTGCTTTTAGGAAGTAAATTGAAGCAAATGTTTGTGCACAATATTACAAATATATAAGAATGAGATCAGGCTACTCAAAAAAGAAGGGCTATATATGTATGAAGTATCTTATATTGATATGCTCTTAGAAGGATATATAGATTGTTATACCCAGCTTGTTTTACTCATTGAATTACCATGGCAGTATTTCAATCATTGAGTTGTTTCCTACTGGTTAAAAGCCAACATTTTGGGGAGTGAGTTTCACAAATAGATTTATTATGAGAACATCAGGTTTATAAGATTTATATTTTCATTTTTAAGCCAGACTACAGGGATACATGCAAAGTCTTTTATTAGTAATACCAAAAGTGATAACAATTCACTTTGCTCCTATACAGAAATCCATAAAATATCTTTCACATTAAAATGGTCCAGAACGTTGCCTTGCCAACTGCAAAAATGTGACAGCACTAACATGCTTTGTGAAATCCTTGGCTCCTTGCCCCCAAATTGATCTAAAAGTGTATCCTCTGTCTCCCAAAAATATCTCCAAAGGTCATACAAATTGCTCCTATTTAGTGTGAAACAGAAATCTCTTGATTTTAATGTCTACATGGATCCTGCTTCCAGATAATGCTAGGAATTATATCTCTCTGTATATTCTGAAACTTTCCTTGTGTGCGCTCAAGGAAATAATGATTATTTGATATCATTAGTAAATGTGGAATTTTTCATACATTATGGTAAAATTTCAGAACATAGGACAACCATAAAGTCTGAAAGTTTCTTCAGCAAATCCTGTGGTTCAGCACTAGAGTTGACCTCCAAGAGAACATTTTATATTTGTATGTTGGTTGTCTGCCCAAAAGTTCTTAGCTTTGTGCCATCAGTAGGACTCCCCCTGCAGTGTGACTTGATTTATGGAGAATTGCATTTATCCTATGTTCATTTTGCAACAATCAATATTAAGTAGGTCTTCTGTCCACCTGAATCAAAGTTTTCTGAATAACTGCTGTCTTAATATTTCCTTGATCTGGTGGAATACATTGGAACTGTACTTCTGCTCATCAAATCACACTGCAGACCAGCTTTAACCAGTGTAGTCCTCTTGTCTCCCTCCAGGATCACTGCTATTATCATGGACGCATCCAGAATGATGCTGACTCAACTGCAAGCATCAGTGCATGCAATGGTTTGAAGTAAGATAGTCTCTAATCTTTTATTTATTGTATTAAGAATAATATACTGCTCTTGGAGTTGTCACAGTTAAAATGAAGGACATCAGTTTTTCATGCAAATGAGTTGGGTGTGATCCAAGACTTCTGCAGAATTAAAAAAGACTTTGGTTGAATACCAAGAAGAACTGCTGCCAGCCAGTAGAGACAGGAGGGAATTAAATCAGATCTGTCTAAAGGAGCTTCCAAGCCCCTGTCTCCTTTACATACAGGAGGTGATGTTACAGGTAGAGAAGATAAATAGGTTTCAAAATGCATACCTTGCTAGAAAGTGTACAGGAAGAGGCAAGCAGACTCTTTAGTTCTACCCAGAAACATTTTCTTGAGCCACTTTGCACACCTTCTCGAACCAGCTAGATATCTTAGCCTCATAAAGATCCCATAATTCAGAAGGTCCTTTTCATTAGTCAGAATCAACATCCTCTCAACATCTGTCACTGAAGGAAGACACTAAAAGACCCCATTTGAACAGAGACTCTGTCCATGCAGTGGAAGAATAAATGAAAAGATAGAACACAGCAGAATAACAACAGAATAATAAAGGAAAATCAGAATGACAGAATAACAGCATTGGAAGGGACCTTGGAGGTCTTTTAGTCCAATCTCCTGCTCAAGTAGGAGACCTATATCATTCTAGACAAATGGCTGTCAATCTCTTCTTAAAAAGCAGTAGTGATGGAACACTCACAACATCTGAATGTAAACCTTTCCACTGATTAATTGTTTCAATTGTCAGAAAATTTCTCCTTGGTTCTAAGTTGATTCTTTCCTAGATTACTTTCCATCCATTGCTTCTTCTCCTGCCATCAGGTGATTTGGAGAATAGGTTGTCCCATACTTTTTGTGACAGCCCCTTTAATATTGAAAGACTATCATGTCATCTCTACCCCTTCTTGTGGTTAGCCTGAATGTACCTAGTTCCTTCAACCATTCATCATATGTTTAACCTTCAGCTCCTTGTTAGTCTGCACTGTTATTCTTCAGTGTTACTCATGTTATTCTGCATTGCCCTTTCTATGAAGATACTTGCCAAGAATTCTTATTTCCCTTCTTTATTAAATATCCTGGTCATTGTGACTCTTATCTTAAATTGCTATCAGATCAATCTGATTTTATTTCCTTGACCACAGCCAAATACTGTTCTATACTTTGTAAAGTAAATTGCAGTAGTTCCTGTAATTCCTTTTAGATATTTTAGAACAGTGATATTTTTCCCTTTTTATCATAATTAGTTATGATTCTTGGGTTTTATCTGTTGGTCATCTATATATGATAAATATAAAGTATTTCACTCTTATGAGATAAAGTTTTACACAAAAACAGAATCTTTCAAATAGCATTTTTTAAAAAAATCCTAGGAAATATTGGATTCCACGCCAAACTATCTCCAAACAAATACTGTACAGATATTTCGTGGTTGTATTGAGTGTGTGCAATTTCTTATACCTTTCTGATCATAGCTATATCTTTGAGAAGTATGAGAAAGGGATATGAGTGCTGAGGAAAGAAAATAAAAATTTCAGTGAGTGTTAAGAAGGGATTCAGAAACACAGGGAATGTTGACTTGGTTAGTTAAAAATGGGTCTCAGAGCTGAGTTTCGTTACCCAACTAGGTAATATCATCAATGCAGGTTATCTCTGAACTAACAATATTCTCTTGTATTGCTTCTCCATCTCTGATCACCCTTTTCCACATTGTTTTACAGAGGACATTTCAAGCTTCAAGGGGAGATGTACCTTATTGAACCTTTGAAGTTTTCTGACAGTGAAGCCCATGCAGTCTTCAAATATGAAAATGTAGAAAAAGAGGATGAGGCCCCCAAAATGTGTGGGGTAACCCAAACTAATTGGGAATCAGATGAGCCCATCAAAAAGGCCTCTCAGTTAGTTGTTACTGCTGAAGTAAGTCACATAGCAAACATGGTTTGAGAACCGGGATTCATTTACTTGTTTCTAAAATGTAAAGTAAGAGAGAAATTCTTTGGGGAGGGGTGATTAGATAGAATTCCAAAGGGAAAACCTCCCATTTCTATCTTTTTATTCTAGCCATGGTATAAAAGAAATAATGGAAACATGATGAACAGAAAATACATATTCCAGGCTTATAGCATTTTCTTTGGTCATACAGATTTGAATCAAAATGGATTTAAATGAATCTCTAAATCATTTCCACTTTTTAAGTCAATTTTGAAAAGTAATCAGATTATCAATTTGGATGCCTCTTTTTGCATGCAGAGAGGACTTGGGATAGGGGGAGAAACTGGTTTGAAATATTTAACAGTTTTGAGATGTCTGATAAAACCATTACATAATTGTGACTCGATTTTCCAATTTGATTTGAATCATCAAGTTGGTTTGATGTAATGATTGAATGAAAAGTGACAAATTGAATCTGGTCACAGTTGACCCCCATACTCCCAATATTTTTGTCCTTTACTGGAAGCACAATAACTAGAAAACAAAATGTTGCATCCAAAGTGATATTTCCTTCCTTCCTTTTGGTGACAAAAGTTGAAACTGG